AGAGAGATTGTCTCTTTTATTTGTGGTTTTCCCATTTGGGAATAGGGGCACAGACTGCTACTTCAGGGGCATTGAGATGGAGGGGAACGGGGCCCACTTTAACACTTTAGTGGTAGTCTTGAGTTGAAGCTGCGTGCCGCACGCCTTGTTCAGTTAGAAGATATTTTCAGGACGTTGTCTGCCCTCTGGTCTGCAAGGTGTTTGTGTGGGTGAGTCCAGTGGAAGTGGCTAACTGAACTTTGAGGCTCCTTCGACCTTCATTTCCTAAGATGGCAGTTATATTTACCTTTTGTCTCTGGAACTGGGCTAAGGGTTCAGGTTCTGGAACAAGACTCTGTGTTCAGGTTACCTATAGGAAAGGGAGCAAACCTCAAGAGAACAAACTTGTGAGTTACAAAGAAAAGGGCCTTGGAGGTTTTACTCACAGGCGCACTGGAGGAGGAGAGGGAGGAAAGTGATTTATGTAAAGTTCCTCATACACACCAGGGGGCTCTCCCCAGGGGCTGAGCGGTGTTCCCCAGGGGTTGGACACCTCTCCCCCACCCAAAGCTCTTCTGAGGTTCAGACCTTGCACCCCAGCAGGGCTGGGGACCGCACTTCTGGCTCTAGCACCCCCATCATTGCCCTCTTCCTCTCCCTCAAGTGGTCTAATTATAACTCAAAGTAGGCATTATTACTTTCCTCTTCCACAAATGGAGAAGGGGCATCCAGAGTGGTGAACAGACCTGCTCAAGGTTGAAAACATTATAAAGAAGAAAAGGACTCAGACTAAGGTTGTTTGAAGGCAGGATGTGAGGCAGTGAGCTCCGGGTGAGTGCAGCACTCGGGTCGGCCATCTTTCGTCTGCCTCTCCAAGCAAAATCCTGCTGAAGACCGTTTTCAGAATGGCCAGAAGAGTATACTCAGGCCGTGGGGTGGGGTGTTTCTGCCGGCCAGCTGGCTGGCTGCACACATGGGGCACTTCTGCCAGCCACGCACACGCAGGGCACTTCTCAGACGGGATGTTTCATACAGACCTCTGCTCCTGTCTTCCTGTGTGAAGTGGTACAGGGCCCGCACCTCTGCTCAGGAAAGCTGGACTTGTTTTCACCCCAGCACCCATGGGCACTGGCTAGTGCTTGCAGGAACCTGAGGGCATGATGGAATGGGGCTCTTGAGGCTGGAGGGTGGGGTGGGGAGGGTGGCATGATGTCTAGGACTGTGAGAGTAGAGAGAAGCCAGGCAGGTTCCCATCACAGGACTTGGTGTGGGCTTCGCTGATGTCCTCAAGTCAACCTGGAAGATGGTCTCAGAGCGTGCCTGCAGAAGGGACCACCATTGTCTGCCAGTTTGCTCACAGAAATGTCAGTTATTAAAAGATCCCATCTGGAACATGTTTTTTTAAACTAGACATTCAGGGACATCCTTGTGTTCATGTGGAAGTACCATGGAGATTGAATTCGGAGGGACCTCATTGAATGTGAACTTGCAGACAGAAAGATGGTTCTCTGGCTTCATGATGTCCATGAACCTGGAGTTGAGAGCCTGGTCACTGAAGTAGGCCTTTTGCTTCATCTCCTGCCAGGATATGTGGTGTTTTTCTGCCCGGCAGCTGCCCTGTTCTTTCAGCTTGTGGTCACTCGAGCACATTCAGAAGATCACCAGTGGATGATGGCTGGTGTTGCAGAAATGGTCTTCCTTCTACATAAATCTTCTATGTCCCTGTGATACGTGAGAGCTGTCCATAGGCTCCATCCCACAACTTGGGCAGAGCGTTTGAGTATTTCTATTTGAGAGTGTTGTTGTTGTTAAGTGCCGTCGAGTTGCAGGCAACTCATAGCGACCCTATGAAGGAGAGTCCTTGATGTTTGGGTGCCTTTCATCCTCTCTCCAAGTTCATAGGGTTTCTGGAGGCAAGCTGTTATGGAAGTGGATGCCAGTCCTCTTTCCAGGATTTGAGAGTAAGATTGAATAAGTAAGAGGTTAGGAGAGGTTGGGCCTTTTTCGGTCTCCTCTCAGATTCCAGGGTTCAGTTAGGGTGCAGCCCTGGCCTTGGTGGGCATGTCTGCAGGAGGCCAACTTGGAGGCCACCCCAACTCAGGGTGGCTGCTCATCCCACACCAGGAAGGGTGCATGTTCCCATGGATGTGGAATTGCCACAGAATCTGTGTGTTGTCTTTGTTTTGATTCTTCAGACCCCAGAGTGAAGATGTTGTACTTTGACCTCCTGTGTGAGAAGGAAACCTTAAGAAGATCAGCTGCTTTCTGGGGACCTGGAGTTGGCAGGGCCTAACAGCTGATAAGAGCAGCTGAAGTGCACATTCAGAGCTGGGGTCGAATCCAGTTCCTCTCCGCTCCTACTGTTAAGCCAAGGAATCCCTGGGTGTCACAAATAGTTAAGCTCTTGACTGCTATCAAAGGTTGGCAGTTCAAACCCACCCAGAGCCCCTTCAGTAAGACAGACCTGGCAGTCTGCTTCTGGAAGGCGGTAACCCTGGAATCTTTAGGGAGCCTTACTCTGTATACGTAAAGGCACCAGGAATCAGGATGAACAAGAAGCAGTGGCTAAGATGCTTTTGTTTCACATTCATTGTACGTGTTTTCAGGAGAGACAAGTCCTTGGAAAAAGACGTCATGCTGGGAAAGGTGGAGGGTCAGGGAAAGAGAGGAGGACCCCCCAACAGGATGGACCGGCATTGTATCTGCAGCAGTGGGCTGGGGCGTATCAGATCATGAGGGCGGCGCAGGACATAGGACAGGGTTCCCATCGGCAGGTCATAGGGTCGCTGAGCATCGTAGTCGACTTGATGGCACCTGACAGCAACAGCGTCGCATTTCTCAAGAGCTGTGGTGGCGTAGGGGGTGAAGTGATGGGCTGCTGAGAGACCGGCTGTTCAAATCCACGAGCCGCTCCACAGGAGAGAGGGGCCAGTCTGCTCCTATTAAAACCTCACGAACCTGACGGGAGGGTACCAGTGAATCAGAGTGGACTCGGCAGCAGTGGGTTTTTTAGGTTTTTAAATCTCATTTTCCAGCCCTGATTTGTGATTCTTCCCAGGTAAGTAAAAGATCTTTAAAAAGATAACAGCTCACAAATTTGCTAGTTTGACTTCTCCAATCTTTTTGTGGATGAGGTACAAGAAAATACCAAGAAGATGTTCACTTGTGTTTTATTGACTATCCAAATACATCTGACTATGTGGACCATAACAAGTTATTGAGCAGAACTAGGAATTCCAGAATGACTTAATTGTGCTCTTGCAAAACTTGTATATTGACCAAGTGCCAGTTGTTCAAGCAGAAGAAAAGGATAGTGCATGCTGTAAAATCAGGAAAAGTAGACTTTGTGTTTGTATCTTTTCATCATATTTCCTCATTATGTACACTGAGCAGATAATCTAAGAAGCTTGACCCTCTGAAAAACACAACATCAGAATTGGAGAAAGACTCATTGATAACTTGCAGTAATTCAAGCTAAACACTTTTGCTTGCTGAAAATAAAAATGAAGAGGATGTGAAGCATTAACTGAAAATGACCAAAGACCATATTCTTCAGTGTGGATTACCCCTCAACCTAAAACAAAAATCCTCACAGCTGTACCGGGAGGCAGCAGTATGCTAGGTGGGGAAGAGGTTGAAGTTGTCTTGTCAGTGACTTTATTTGACTTGGCTCCACAGCCAACACCCATAGAAGCAGCAGTCAGGAAATAGTTGACATGTTGCTTTGGGTAGGTCTGTTGCAGAGGACCTCTTTAAAGTGTTGAAAATCAGAGACTTCACTTTGATGACCAAGGTTCACCTGACGGGAGCTGTAGTATTTTCAGTTGAGGTCCAAATTAATCTCCGAATTACTCAGGAGCAGTGATGTTAGTTTGAGGACAAGTGTGCTGCTGATTCAGACCATACTCTTTTCAGTCATTTGCAATGCTGCTGAGACCTGGACAGTAAATAAGGATGACAAAAGAAAAACTGGTATTTGAGTTGGAGAATTTACTTGGTGGTGGAGAAGGTTCCTGAATACCCCATGGGCTGCCAACAGAACAAACATATGTCTTGGAAAAAGTGCAGCCAGAGGGCTCCTGATAGGCAAGGATGGCGAAGTTTCATCTCACATACTTTGGGCCTGTTGCCGGGGAGAGGTTTTTCCTGGGAGGAGGACACCATTCTTGGAAAAGTGAGGGGGCAGCGAAAGAGAGGAACACTGTCAACCAGGTGGATTGACACAGTGACTGCAGCAGTGGGCTTGAGTATTGTCAGAGATTGTGAGGCTGGCACAGGAGAGGACAGGGTTCAGATCTGCTGCACGTAGGGCCACTGCGAGCCATACTTAACTCGACGGCCCCTGACAACGTAATAACACACACCTGAAAAAGCTAGAAAGTGAGTAAGGCAGACAGACCAGAGTTGATGCCTTTGAATTATGGTATTGACAGAACATACTGAATATATCATGTGTTGTCACAGGGACCAACAATTCTAAGCTGGAAATGCAGGCAGATAGTCTTTAGAAGTGAAGGTGGTGAGACTTCGCCTCCCATATTTTGAATGTATTTGAAGAAACTAGTCCCCGCATAAGAATATTGTGCTTGTTAAAATAGAAGATCATAAAAAAAAAAATTAGATCACAATAAAAGAGAAAGACACTTAATGAGAAGGACTGAGAGTGAGTGACTGCAGCTGTGGGCTCAAACGTAGCAAGGACGTGAGGCTGGCCCCGGCCAGGGCAGTGGGGTTGGGTTGTTAAGGAGTCTTAGCATCAATAGGATGAGGTATAAAAAAATTATTTATTTTATTTTATTTTATTTTTTTAGCTTCTTGTTGATCGTGGAGAATACTACAGCAGTCAGGATTTCCCACCAAGGTTGCAAAGTCTAACTCACCAGGTTAAAACTAGTGTTAAGAGACTTTCACACATTGACCACTTCTGTAATCACTCACCAGACATCTTACTGTTTGAGTTGACATTGTATCTCAGAGTCTATGTCTTTTTAATTCAGAGACCTGTGAAAGAAATCTCTTCCACTTTGTGCATCACTCTTTGTCAGTGTGCTTTATGAAGTAACCTGGTTTGCTGTGATGCTGAACCTTGTGCCATTGGGATGTCAAATACCAAAATGGTTTCCCATTGTGGACAGTGTTTGGTGGAGCTCCCAGATGTAAAACAGGTTGGGAAGCAGGAGTCGCGTCCACTTCCTGAACCACATGCCTCTGGAAACTCTGTGAACTTGGTGAAATGATGGCAGTTATGAAAGGCATTAGGTCTTTTGTTCATAGAGCACTGTGAGTCGTGCTCAACTCGACGGCAGTCAACAGCAACAATGCAAGAAACACATTGAAATCCATAAACCAGCTGGCTTGCTGATGTGTCTAAGGAACAAGACTCCTAGCATGAGAGAGAGGGTGGCGTTTCTAAATATTTCATCATGAGATGTTACTTTGGTAAGGAAGTGTGGCTGTCCTCGTCCTCAGTGGGAAGAAGACATTAATGGAGGGAGTAGGCATGAGCCACAACAGAAACACTCCAACTGAATAGGCACCAGCATTGCCCATCACGGCCGTGGGCTGGCTCCTCGTGGAGCTACCAGTGGAGCTTCCTAAGGAGACTGAGCAATGGAACCACCGGGTTGGAGAGGGCCTGCCCATGGGGACAGACCACTGCTGCTCCCACATCCAGGTTGGAGAGGGCCTGCCCGGGAGGACAGACTAGAGAGGGCCTGCAGGGGTGTGTGTGTGTGTGTGTGTGTGTGTAAAAAACAGTCTGGAGAGGGCCTGCCTAGGAGGACAGACTAGAGAGGGCTTGCAGGTGTGTGTGTGTGTGTGTGTGTGTGTGTGTGTGTAAAAAACAGTCTGGAGAGGGCCTGCCTAGGAGGACAGACTAGAGAGGGCTTGCA